AAAAGGTAACCAAAAAAACTTTTATTGTTTAAAATACACAATTTGAAATATGAATTGGGGCCTGATTTAATTCATTTCAATTAATAATATATATTCAGTCCTCCGTAAGCCAAATTAATTGTTGTCTATATGAGTGTAGGTCTGGGCAACTTTGTTTAATTTAGTTGTTGAGTCACATACCTGTTGGTGTGATGGGCAACTATGCAATGCATTATTTTAGTGGAATTAATTAGCAAGCCAACTAAAGCCTCGGCAGAATCAGAAAATGCACAAAATAGCAAGGGGTAAAGTATGCAAAACATGATTGTATACGAGTGATTTATGGGAAACTAATTAGTGCTCTGTGGGTGGGATAGTCCCACCCAACAATGTTGCAGAATGTTTATCGACATCCAATTTTCTGTATGTACTGTATTAAATTGGCCTACCTCTCCTGTCCTAATAAACTACGTGTAAGGATTTACCTGCACAGGTGTGTTTGTCAGGGAGCAGAAGGTAACCTGGACGGCAGGAACAGAAATATCCTCCAATATAATTGCTGCAGAAATGAGAACAGTTGTTCTGTGCAGGGTCTTCACACTCATTTAGATCTGAGAAATTGGTGGAGGAGGACCACAGGTTAGTGAATACATTAAGAGAGTCAATGACTGACACAGAGGACGGTGACTGACAGCAGTATTAGGAATGTCAAAAATTTAAAAGAGTTTAATACTAATTTCTTATTGCTGATGGTAGACTTGACCATCAGCATGGTGTTCTATAGGAATATCACCTGTCAAAAACCTGAAAAAATAGTGCGGAGTCTAATTATTGACCCAAACTCTGTGAAGGACACAGCAAACTGCTTAAATCTTAAGCAAGTTCATCCTCAACTATGACTCACTTTGAGAAACCTACGGACTTCTCCCCAGTGAAATTTGGAGCTTGATAGCCGCAGAGACAGGGGTCTACACAAAACCAGAGGACCTGGGAACCCCAGCCCCTAGTTTCTCAAAACGTGGAACACGTACTCCAGGAGGTACGTGCACTAAATTTAGGAGGTACGCCAAGAGATGGGTTGGAGGTGGAGGCAGCGAGGGGGTTGTAATTGTCATTAACTGCCAGCACTGCTCCCTAGCAAGCCCTGTGGTGCTGCCGGGAGCTGGGTTGTGATGAGTGCACGAAGGAGCAGTGCTGAAAGATCAGGAATATTACACAAGCCTCCAGCAAAAAGATCCCCACTGAACCCCAGGGAAATTATTCACTCCAGCTCTCCCAAATGCAGGGAGGCTCGGTGGACCTAAATAAATAATAAGAAAAAAATAATTTGTGAGTGTGTGAGAGAATGTGTATGTGTCAAATCAGTTACATAGTTACATAGTTACAAAGCTGAAAAGAGACTTGCGTCCATCAAGTTCAGCCTTCCTCACATATGTTTTTGCTGTTGATCCAAAAGAAGGAAAAAAAAACCCTAGTCTGAAGCGCTTCCAATTTTGCAACAAACTAGGAAAAAATTCCTCTTTGACCCCAAAATAGCAGTCAGATGTCTCCTTGAATCAAGCAGCTATTACCCCACTAATTAGAAGTTATATCCCTGTATGTTATGTTTTTGCAAGTATTTATCCAATTGCCGTTTAAACATCTGTATGGAATCTGACAAAACCACCTCTTCAGGCGGAGAATTCCATATCCTTCTCCAGTGAGAGTGTGTCTGTCAGATCAGTGAGTGTGATTGTTAGTGTGTGTCAAATCAGTGAGCGTGTCTGCCAGTGAATGTATGTGTCAGTAAGCATGTCTGTCAGTCAGTTAGAATGTGTCTGTTAGTGAATGTGTCTGTCAATAAGTGTGTCTATCAGTGCGTGTCAAATCAGTGACTGTGTGTGTCAGTGAGTGTGTGTGTGTCAGTGTCCTCAGTGTGTAAATGTATTTGTGTGTCAGTGTCCTTTGTGTGTAAATGTGTGTGTTTGCCAGTGTCCCTTGTGTGTAAGTGAGTGTGCCAGTGTCCCTTGTGTGTAAATGTGTTTGCGTGTCAGTGTCCTTTGTGTGTAAATGTGTGTTTGTCAGTTTCCTCTGTGTGTAAATGTGTGTGTGCCAGTGTCCCTTGTGTGTGTTTGTGTGTCAGTGTTCTCTGTGTGTAACTATTATGTGTGCATTATATTTTCATTATGTGAGTTTTATACTTCAGATTAATAGTTTACACACTCCTATTTACAAACACAATATGCACATTAAGTCATATTTATTTTTCAAATATTCTTTATTACCTTTAATCAGGCTTGTCAATGGGATTAATTTAAACATCAGTGTCTATACATGAGGCAGTGGTTCTTAGGATTTTATTTTCAGACCTGCAGGGGTACTTCCCCATAAAAGGTTGACAAATGTTACCTCATATTTTCTGCTCTTGTGCATCTTTTTTGCTGTATTATATATATAATGAAAATGCATAACATCTCTTAGTTACCTAAAACTGAAAATAAAGTGACTTCTTTTTCACTAGAGACATTTTGCTACCGAAAACTTAGAACAGTAATGAAGGGAAATATTTAAAGTAATTATACCTTTTACATTTAGCTGTGCATAGTTGATGAAGATTCAGGTGCTACTCATAAAATGTCACAAAACGTCATTTGTCACTTACCCACAGCTGAAAAGGTTAGGGAGAATCCAGTATATTGCTCCATGTTCAGTGTGTCAGAAGTGAAATTAATTCTGAGGACATTGGTTGAGAAGTATTTATTTTGTCCTGAAGACCAGAAAGTGCTAATACCACACAGGTTCTCTTTGACCTCATCCCCGATGATTACCTACAAAGGAGAAATAGACCAAGATTCTGGAACAGTAAGAAAGGAATCCAGCAGACACACAGACAGGTATTGCATTACTAGGCTGAGTTAGTTATTTATAAGACACTGGGTAAGGGTACATTAAGACTGTAGGTTAGTAGTTGGGGATGAGAAAGTAGAATTGATACATTGAAGATTAAGACCTGTAACTGCATCTACAAATTACTGCGCGACAAGCAGTCAGACACACATAAAAGAGAAGAACCTTTTGTACAGGTGCCCAGGGTACCTACACTTTTTGCTCAGCAGGAAATACACTTCTTATTACCTGCTCCAAATGTAGGGAAGTTAGTGCACAGTGTTACATGAAAAAAAGACTTAACAAAGATGATGTTGGAGGGAGGCCTAGTAGCTGTTGGAGTTCTTAGGGATGTTGATAAAGCAAGGTTGACTTATTATGTTGTTTTTGATAGCTGGGACAGTTAGAACTGGCCTACTGGGGAAATAACTAGTAATGTCATTACGCAAGAATTTCATGATATCGGTGAAGCCTTGCAATTGGCTAAAGCCCTGCTCCAAAGTTGACCAATCACAGTACAACCCGAAACTAAAAGGGGTCTATACATGCCATCTTGGAAACCATCTGCCATCTTGGAAACCTACAATGGCTGGTGGGTCAGTGGCTATTCTTTTACTTTGATTTATGTATTATTTTAATTAATTTGTTCACCATTTTAATCCTTCATTTATGCATTAAAATATCCAATTTGCATGTCAGTGTGCTTTTCATCACCATTTTCTATAAATAAATATTGAATATTGAATAACTAAAGTTTATATAATACTTAATAAAATCTGCCAACACTGTTTACATTTGCTACCTTTACAGAGTCATGCTCGCAGTTCTCTGATGGCTCAATATCCATGTGGATAAAGTAGAGGTTGATTCCAAATCCTTTTGGAAGTTTATTGGTAGCCAGATAAGATCTGGGCGAAAAGGTTTTGCTTCCATTAATGTGTTAGTGTTACAGTTTATTGTTAAATTAAGATGTAAACAGGATAGTGACAGCCTTATGAGCAGGTCCTTATTTCTAGTAAGCTGGTCTTTGATCTTGATAAGGTTGACTGAAACAAAATGAATCCTCTTATCTTCCTAGTCAGTCACTCAGTATGTCTGGTTTTGATTAGCCAGACAATTGTTTGGAGAAATTGATTGGAGACGTGGGTTCTCAATGCCTAATGGTTGATACAGAAGGGCTATATCTATCATCTCCACTATTTTCTCCTTCCAGAAAGCTCAACAGTTACACTCTTGGTTGGGTTAAGAACTTGCAGAGTTTACTCACCAACCACCACCTGTTAACTGAGGAACAAGTACAAAAGATATAATGGGCCTAGGACAGAATCATGAAATATGGAGTAAACTATTTTAGCTCGTTGTTGGGGAAAAGTCTATGGAACGGCCAATCGTGCCTGGATTGGCAACATTGACCTCTTCACCACTGTTGGTGAAGTTAGCGTGTGGATACCTGAACCAGAGTTCCACAAGGTACAGATACCAGAAATAGGACAATGATTGACAATTAAAATCCTCTTTTTGTGATAAAGGCAAATATAAAGAGGTAAAGAGCTGTAAGGGCTGGTAGAGGAGGGGATAAGACTGAGGATCTAGTAGATATGGTGATGGAACAAAATTGACCACTTGAAATGGGGATCTAGAAATGTAACAGTCTCCCTACTATTGAGTAGTGGTATTCCACTCAAAGAGAGCAATTGGCTGATCTGAGTCAAGAATATTTCTATTATTCTATGAATTAGTAGTCTCTAAAGAGGCCTGGACTGCAAAGATATTTGGCATTAAAAAGATTATGGCTAAGGGACTCCTTGGCAAATATTAATAGTTTTTTATTTCATTAGCCATTTTACTTTGTATGTAATATCTTTTTTTTTCTGGGCAAAGGAGCAATTTTTGAAATTTATAGTACAAGTACTGCATGCGGTAATTCTGAAAGACAATGAAGGAACTTCAAGACTTGTTAAATATCAGACTATAAAACACAATTTTGCTGTTACTAAGTCCTTAATTTAATATTGTTGGATAAGCTTCCCAGATGATTTAATATTTTAGATAAGTTATTAAAAAAATTTTTTTTAAATCTAACAATATTAAATCGAGAGAGTATATAGTGTAGTAAATTCAAACACCAAATTGTGCACTAGTAAAATTGCACTCACAAGATGAGAGAGCAGTAAGGGCATATAACGGTCTTTGATCTTGACGGACAGCTGTAGTCTTCTAATTTCACCTTAGAGAGGGAGAGACACACAAACCATAGTGCACCAGTATAGTAAAAAATAGTAACATTTATTTGATTGCACTCACAAAATAATAGTTGTAATCCAGCTTGTCAAAATACTTGAGGGATAGTGGTGCCGGCGTCCTTTTTCCCTTAGCAAGTAATGGAAAAACAAACCAAATAAAAAACCAAATTAAAAACAATCTATAAACATAAATAAAATAAAAATTAGCAATAACAATAACAAGGTGCTGTCGTGGTCCCTCCGCCCTAAGCGTTTCGTCTCAAAACGAGACTTCCTCAGGGGAAAATGAAGGTGCATATTACAGTCTGTTAAGTCCGTCTTTTTAAAAGGCCGTAAATTCCCGCCTTCTGTATGGCCAATCGAAATGTATCACCTGCGTTAGTTTGATGTGTTCCAAGCCTTGTTTTCAGTTCGACCATTCTCGGAACAACTTCCGGTCTTGCGTGGAACAACATCCGGTATTGCGTGGAGCGCAAACATGCGTTCCACAGCCGTAAACGGAAATACAAGGATCCATACAAAAAGATTTTTTATTATCATGAAAACAAATAGAGAAAGAAATAGAGAAAGAAAACCATAAATAAAAGCATCATAGTTCTAACATTTAAACATAAATAATTATTAATATTAATGGAAGATGAGATCAAATACCAAATATAAAAAACTCATATAGAGAAACCTTTTTCAAGGTGTATATTATAAAAGAAAAGGAAAGGCACATGGGATGATAATTATATAAATATAAATGTATAAATGTAAAAATAAAAATATGAAGTATAAAAAAATTTATACATACTTTAAAAACTATTAAATAAAATATTATAAAATGAAAAAATAGTTAAAAAATATATATGTGATGGTTTATTTATAAAAAACATACCATATCAAAATCGACATTTAGTCCAATGGGGCTAAAAGTCTTAAGATTAAAAATCCAAAAACCTTCTCTTTGGCGTAATTTCTTTATTAAATCACCTCCTCTATCATCCAATGTAACTCTTTCTAAACCCGTGCACAAGAAGGTATCAAACGTAAAATCAGGACAATTATTACAGTGTACCGGTACAGAGTGAGTAATCAAGTGTTTCTTTATATTGTCACAATGTTCCATAAATCTAACTTTAAGTGCTCTACTAGTTCTCCCCACATATTGAATGCCACATCCACAAGTTAAAAGATACACTACATTAGTGGTGTTGCAATTAATATAATCATTTATTTTAAAAAGTTCTCCTGTTTTGTAACTTTTAAAATGTTGTGTTTTTTTAGGTAAAAATTTACAACCCTTGCATCTACCACATTTGTAGAATCCCTTTAGGGATGAGGCTTCTGTTTTCTTAGATCTAAACGTACTAGGAGGAAAACATTTTTAAAATTTCTACTCCTCTTAAAAATCATTTTTGGTACAGATGGAATTTGTTTCCTTAAGAGGTCATCTTCCAATAAAAGAGGCCAATGTTTTTGTAAAATCTTTTTAATTTGAAAGGCTTGAGCATTATATTGAGTGATAAAAGATAAACTAAAATTTTCATTAGAATTCTTATTTTTAGCCCTATTAACTAAAAGATCATTCCTGGTAGTGTTCTTACATCTATCGATTTCTTGTTCTAAAAATTTAGGGGAATAGCCCTTTTCTATAAATTTATTCTTAAGGAATTCTGACTGGTCCAAAAAACAACTTTCATCGGTACAATTTCTTTTAAGTCTAGTAAACTGGCTTCTAGGAACTCCTCGAAGCCAATTCGGGTGATGAGCACTTTTGGTATCGATAAAAGAGTTGGAATCTGTAGGTTTAAAAAATGTCTTTGTTTTAATAATAGAATTCTCTGTATAAAGGGTGAGATCTAAAAAAATAATACTAAAAGGGTCTATTTGGGGAGAATTTGTTTCCTTAAGAGGTCATCTTCCAATAAAAGAGGCCAATGTTTTTGTAAAATCTTTTTAATTTGAAAGGCTTGAGCATTATATTGAGTGATAAAAGATAAACTAAAATTTTCATTAGAATTCTTATTTTTAGCCCTATTAACTAAAAGATCATTCCTGGTAGTGTACCAAAAATGATTTTTAAGAGGAGTAGAAATTTTAAAAATGTTTTCCTCCTAGTACGTTTAGATCTAAGAAAACAGAAGCCTCATCCCTAAAGTGATTCTACAAATGTGGTAGATGCAAGGGTTGTAAATTTTTACCTAAAAAAACACAACATTTTAAAAGTTACAAAACAGGAGAACTTTTTAAAATAAATGATTATATTAAGTGCAACACCACTAATGTAGTGTATCTTTTAACTTGTGGATGTGGCATTCAATATGTGGGGAGAACTAGTAGAGCACTTAAAGTTAGATTTATGGAACATTGTGACAATATAAAGAAACACTTGATTACTCACTCTGTACCGGTACACTGTAATAATTGTCCTGATTTTACGTTTGATACCTTCTTGTGCACGGGTTTAGAAAGAGTTACATTGGATGATAGAGGAGGTGATTTAATAAAGAAATTACGCCAAAGAGAAGGTTTTTGGATTTTTAATCTTAAGACTTTTAGCCCCATTGGACTAAATGTCGATTTTGATATGGTATGTTTTTTATAAATAAACCATCACATATATATTTTTTAACTATTTTTTCATTTTATAATATTTTATTTAATAGTTTTTAAAGTATGTATAAATTTTTTTATACTTCATATTTTTATTTTTACATTTATACATTTATATTTATATAATTATCATCCCTTGTGCCTTTCCTTTTCTTTTATAATATACACCTTGAAAAAGGTTTCTCTATATGAGTTTTTTATATTTGGTATTTGATCTCATCTTCCATTAATATTAATAATTATTTATGTTTAAATGTTAGAACTATGATGCCTTTTATTTATGGTTTTCTTTCTCTATTTCTTTTCATGATAATAAATTTTTTTCCACGCAATACCGGATGTTGTTCCACGCAAGACCGGAAGTTGTTCCGAGAATGGTCGAACTGAAAACGAGGCTTGGAACGCATCAAACTAACGCAGGTGACACATTCCGATTGGCCATACAGAAGGCGGGAATTTATGGCCTTTTAAAAAGACGGACTTAACAGACTGTAATATGCACCTTCATTTTCCCCTGAGGAAGTCTCGTTTTGAAACGAAACGCGTAGGGTGGAGGGACCACGACAGCACCTTGTTAATGTTATTGCTAATTTTTATTTTATTTATGTCTATAGATTGTTTTTAATTTGGTTTTTAATTTGGTTTGTTTTGCCATTACTTGCTAAGGGAAAAAGGACGCCGGCACCACTATCCCTCAAGTATTTTGACAAGCTGGATTACAACTATTATTTTGTGAGTGCAATCAAATAAATGTTACTATTTTTTACTATACTGGTGCACTATGGTTTGTGTGTCTCTCCCTCTCTAAGGTGAAATTAGAAGACTACAGCTGTCCGTCAAGTTCAAAGACCATTATATGTCCTTACTGCTCTCTCATCTTGTGAGTGCAATTTTACTAGTGCACAATTTGGTGTTTGAATTTACTACACTATATACTCTCTATATTTATTCTTTTTTGTAGATTGTATTTTTTATATTTGTATTGAGAAGGTCTGAGGGGTCTTCTTACAATCATACATCTGGTAAAATAATTTTTATTTATTTATTTTTACCTCTGGGGGTGCACGTGTGTTATATTTTGACATATATTTTCTAATATTAAATCGAGGCCTAATTTGGAAAGATACATTTGCTGCAGTAGGGAGATTCCAGTCAATCTACTCTTTTATAATAATGTCACTATCATTAAATTGTGTTCTGAAAAAAACAATACATGTCTAATTAATCTAAAATATGTTAATTGTTTCTCAACAGTGAATCAAAAGAAACAATGTATTAATAAGTCCTATGTCTTACAAGGGGAGGATTCAGAGCAGGCAACTTCAAAATAACGACACAACGCCTACCATTACATGTTCACTGTGCATTAAACTAAATTATTGGTTTGGACTGGAAACCTTCATTATATCTGTGACTGAGCTCCAGTACTCTGACCCAGTACCTCCGTCTAGTCCGCAGGTATCGCCGCCTCTGCCTATTCCACTGCAGCCCCTCTTCCAGGCAGGTATCATCCCCTCTGTCTATTTCTCTGCAGCTTTGCTATTGCCTTTACAAAGACACTTGTGGCTCTCAGGCCTAGCTCTATTGACTTATCCTAGGGCTAGAGGGATTCTTCAGCCAGCAAACAGGTCTGAAGACTCTGTCACTGGGATCCCTAAAAATCCATACAGGACACGAGTTCCAAAAGAAACTAACATGCAATAATTTGTTTTAACTCAGGATGAGCCCATATGTCCATTACACTTATATTGTGACAAAAAAATACAAACAGTCAAATCATAGCAGACAACATACAGCAACTTATTGTAACACAATGACATATTTATAAAGGGGTGGGGGAGACAATAATTAACAGAAAATATCTCTCCTGCCTGCAGAATCAGCAATATGCAAATCTACCCAAATATGCAAATTAGCAAGCCTTGCTATTCAGGTAGTGCATATCGGTGTTGCAACCAACTGGTGGCACTGTACAGGCTGCACAGCCAAATTCACCTAGTTGATTGCAAGTATTAGCCAGACAGGTGATGGTGACTACTGTCACAATATACAATTGCTTTATCCTCCTTAGATTGTAAACTCTGCTGGGTACTGTGTGATGTCTTAATAATAACCAACTCATTAGAAAATGAAATACAATGATCTCTAAACTTACCTGTTCTCCATCACTCAGATTAATGCTCAGCAAATATTACTCCGTGTCTTTTGCTCACAGAATCCTGAAAATGAGTATTTGTGTGTTAGATAATCAGAGAGAAGGGGATAGTTATACAAAGCTCAGAAAACAAATACATCCCTTGGATTTTGGACTGTGATTACACAACTGCTATTAAAAAAAACCAAAAAAAAACATTTTATTTGAGCATTGAACTAACAGTTGCAAGTATTTGTTTGATGGTCAGTGTGTTCAGAGGCTTGCATGTAGAATCAGTTTGAAAATAATGTGATTTTGTGTACAGGGCCTGTGTGTGTGAGAATGCAGGTGTATATTTGTATCTATTCCCCATATCTCTCCCTTCCTATGCTACTGACCAATGGTTGCCAATTGCCATTTGTCCCTCCCCACGTCATGTCGCTTATTGCCTCAATACTCAATATTCTTCTCTCCATTTTCCTTCATACTTTAGCCAACCCCTCTCATGGCCCATTTTGGTAGCCCTCACACCTTCCCAAGTCAGTAGTCGGACTGCATTGCTCTCACACCTTGCCCATAACTGTGGAAATTGATAAATTCCTATATTATAACAGCATTACTGTATCTCTGTAATACCCCACATGGACTTGACCAATACCCACTATATTAACTAACTAAAAAAAAGAACAATTAGGGATGTTGAAAAGGAGTATATAGTAAAAGATATCAACCTCATAAGACTACTGGGACCTAAATATTTGCTAAATATATCCCAAGAGTTAACTAAAACTTAACTTTTATTGGTATAGATAAAATAATATATATTTACTTAGT